GTTTATCCTAACCATTTTGAATACACAGATACAAAATGGTCTGTATCCCCTTTTTTGTTTAGTTCCATCATTTGAATATTACAGGTGTGTTAACTCAGCAAAATATTCTATAAGAGTCCAGTAGTCCATAACATGGCTTTTCTTATGGAGCATGGGGAAAGCACATTAATGGGGAAAAATGAAGGGGATTGTGAAGCCCTTTGTACACACATCAGGTTCCTATAAGACATGTCATCATAATGTACTGCAAGCATATTTATCTATATCTCTCTATATATTTAATCTCTGTCTTTATATAAATATCTATGAAGAAATCCAAGAGATGGAGGAAGAGGAGGGAAGACGAGCAGGTTAAAAAAAAAGGAATTGAGAAATGTCATGTGCACGTACCAACTCCCCAGGATGAATGTAATCACTGTACTACAAACATGTACCAATAAAAAAGAAAGACACAGACTGGCAGACTGGAACCCAACAGTATGGGGCATCAAAAAAAAAATTCATAGACTAAAATCATAGGATGGAATACAAGATTACATGGGAGGGCTAACCAGATAGCTCGGAGGACTAAAGCACCTGCTTAGGCAGAGCACAGCGGTCAGGGTTTGATTCCTGGCCTGCTGGGCCTGCCCCACCCCCAGGGGCATGTTGAGAGGGTGATTGAGAGGCATGATGGCGTGCATCTGTAATTCCAGTGCTTGGGAGGTTGAGAAAGAATAACTATGAGTCCAATCTAAGTAATGAAACCCTGTAGACCCTGTGCTAAATGCATTTTTAAAAGAAGAAAAGATTCAATGGAAGCATGAAAACAAGAAGTAGATAATCATATTTTTAGACAAAGTGGGCTTAAGCCCAAGACTGGTCAGAAGAAACAAAGTTTATTACAAATTACCGCAGTTTGTAGATCTTTTGTCAGTGTCAGCCATGTGGATGAGTCACAGCCATTGCTTGACCATTTTGCTCTCTGTGAAAGCCTGAGAGAATGTTTTCTCTCCATGTGAATCTCCTTAGGCACACTCTACATCATCGATCACTTTCATCTGTGTGTGATACTGGGTCATGCTTGGAATGCTTGTCGTTCTGGTTTTCTAAATACATACTGCTTGTCATGTCATACCAATTACTGCCATACTGTCTATCAAGTAAATGTTTTTTTAAAAAATGGGCAATAAATGAAAACAAGAGATAAGAAAAACATCATAGGACTGTCGTGCTACAACGCTGTATATGGTTAGATTTCTAAATTTCTTTTTTTAAAAAAAATTTTATTTGTGTGTGTGTGTGTGTGTGTGTGTGTGGCCAGCTCAGCCCACCAGGGGGCGGGGCTGGCTGGCATGTGGTGCTGGGGGATTGAACCGCCGTCCCTGTGCTTTGCTAAGCTTGTCCTAAGTAGGTGCTTTAGACCACTGAGCCATCTCACCAGCCCTCTAAATTTCTTTATAAACATAATTATTCCTATTTTAAAAATATTTTTTATTATTTTTATTTTTTCTTCACATTCTGTAGGGATTTAAAATTTAACATATCAATACTTGATGGAAAATACCTGTTCCATGTTATATCTAAGATGTTTGATATTGAGACAGAGTGAGGGTAAGCTCAACTGCCTCTTCTGGAGGGTTATATTTGAATGGCAGTGGAATACCAATCTCTGATAAAACTAAAACAAAAATGGGGCTATGAATAAAGGACCATTTTATAGTGAAAAAAATATATATATATGTATATACAAAATAGTTAGGATAATATATAGCTACTTTCTCTTAGTTCAGTGAGAAGAAAGATTTGTACTAATAGTGCTTAGACAAGATATCATGTCTGCATCTTGCACTATGAATAATTACTACAAAGACAACAATATGCAATGTATTAATTATTGTAACTGTCCTACTAACCTGTTACTAATATCATTAAACTTCTCTTCTGGAGGGTTAACAACTTAAGTTTGCAGACCAAAAATTAGAGAAAAAGAAGGGCTGTAAGGACAGCCAACATTTTGGCCCTAGCCTTTCAAGGTCAGTAGGGGAACATAGGGGAACCTGTACTGTAACATCCTGTAACTCAATTTCGTCCCTCATTTACTGATCAAGCATATCTTTTGTAACTGCTATGTTGTGAACAGCATTATGAGCTTCCTGGTTTGTATAATAGTCAAAGAAATTTCCTTTCCACAGTAAATAACGTTGAGTTAAAAAAATTCTTTAGCTATTCCTTTCTAATCATTTTGGGCCATAATCTGTTGTCCTAGGATTTCTACCAAAGTCAAGGTAAAAGGAGCAGTAGGGTCATAAGTAGAAACAGCCTGTTTTAATTCTTTTTAAGTTTTTTTTTTAAATTAATTTCATTGAGAAAGAAATAGCAGTGAGACAGTTTCAAAACAGGTTAGTAGGACAGTTACAATAATTAATACATTGCATATTGTTGTCTTTGTAATAATTATTCATAGTGCAAGATGCAGACATGATATCTTGTCTAAGCACTATTAGTACAAATCTTTCTTCTCATTGAACTAAGAGAAAGTAGCTGTATATTATCCTAGCTATTTTGTATATACATATGTATATATTTTTTTTCACTACAAAATGATCATTTATAGCCCCATTTTTGTTTTAGTTTTATCAGAGATTGGTATTCCATTGCCATTCAAATATTGTAGGTGCATGAATTCAGCAAAATAATCCAAAATAGTCCAGTAGTCCATAACAGTATTGGGTTATCTGCAGAACCGGCAATGTCAGAAGTTGTAAGGTACAGATCCATGAAGTTGTACAACTTGTCTCAGATTATTAGAAACTTGAACTTCAGTAAAAGGTTAGGTATGCTGAAAACCCTCCATTGACTCCCCCATTCATCTAGCTCCTTTTAGTGTTAATTGCAAGAGACACAGAGAGGACAGCTCTATTACTTGAGAGGCAGGAGTTTGTTCTGTGACTCAGTGAAATTTCTCTGAGCTCAAAAGGTTGGGAAGGCTGCCTGTGGCTCAGTTACAATCATTGGGTGTTGTGAATTTTGTCAGGAAACAGTGCTCTGGTGGGGATGGCTCCCTTGTCCACCACTGCTCCTTCCTTATTTGATAGAGCAAGGCTGGAAGGCTTAAGCTCTGTGTGTGGCACCTTGCTCCCTTCTCCTTGGCCCACTTGGGTTTGGGACTTGATTTTAAGGGAAAGCTTCAAGTCAAGCTGCAAATCCTTTGTACTTGTAAAATTCCAGAATCCAGAATGGAAAAATAAATACGGGAATCAAGAATGTCAAAACCACTTCTATATACATAGACCACCAAAATTTTTTAATTAATTAATTTGTTTGGTATAGGATTTTGCTATACAGCTCAGACTCCTAGTGCTCCTTGTCTCAGCCTCCCCAGCTCTGGGTTCACAGGTGTGCACCACCACACTCGGTTCCAGGGCCGGCCCCGCATGTAGTACCAGGGATCAAACTTGGATCCTTGCGCTTGCTAAGCAGGTACTTATATCGCCAAGCTATCTCCCCAGCCCACCACTGAGATTCTTGAAACTGTTTGTTCTAGTTTTAACCCAATATAACTTTCTTCTTTTTGGCTTCTCTCAAACCTATTTTCCTCTTTAGTCTTTTTTTTTTTTTTTTTTCCAACGTATTTGGTACAGCATCTCACTACACAGCCTTAGTGCATCAGTTTGTTGCAACAGTAGGGGCATTTATTTATACCTTTGCAAAGTTAGTACCACGTGACACTAGGTTACCTAGTGACTAATAGTTGACATTGACATGGCAGAGGTAGCTTGACTGCTTCAGCCCCTGAGGGCTGAACACTTCTTGTGCTACCATTTTCTTGAAATCTTACCTGCCGTTCATGACCTTCTTTAGGTTTTTGCCAGAGCAATCAGGAATCATCTCTAATTATTAAAATAATTCCCTTAAGTAACTGAATTGACTTTGTATGGTCAAACTACCTTGAAATCATAGAAGGCTGGCTAAAACATGTATATTAATCCAGTAATGTTTTTGAGATTTTTTTGTCTTAATGTATGATATGATGCCAATGGTATGCTTGAATCCTTTATACTTGAATCCTCTTCAGTGGCTGCAGATTATTTCACTCTGTGAGTAAAAGATAAAGTTTAACCAACCTTGTCTCACTGACCTTTTAGATTTATGAGTGTTTTTATTTTTTATTTTTTGTATTTTAGGGAAGAGTCTATGGCGTGTTCAGAGTCTCACTACTAGATCGGACTCATAGTGATCTGCCTGTTTACAGCCTCCCAAGAGCTGGGATTACAGGCACGCACTACCACTCCCAGTCTCAATTGCCATCTCAGTGTGCCCCGGGGGCAGGGCCAGCACAGCAGGCCTGGAGATTGAGCCCCTGGCCCCTGCACCTGCTTGCAGGAGCTTTAATTCACTGAGCTGTTTGGCTGGCCCTTATGAGGGTTTTTAGATATTTGTTTCCTTACATTATTATTTGTTAATTGGTTGAAATCTTACATTTGTTTTGTTTTTTGTTTATTTGTTGGTTGGCTTTTTTTAATACAGTCTTTCTATGTAACTCAAGCTAGTCTTGAACTCATTATATAGTCCAAGCTGGCTTCAAACTTGTGCCACTCCTCCTGCCTCAGCTTCCCAAGTGCTGAGACTGCAGGGTTGTGTCACCATGCCCAGCTGCATATTTGCTTTCTTTTTTCTTCTATTTTGGCACTAGGGCTCAAACTCAGGACCTTGTGCTTGCCAGGCAGGCTCTTACGGTGCTGAGCTGTATCACTAACCCATTTGCTTTCAATTAGCAATCACTACATTTCCCTAAAGGAAACAAAATCAAGAAAGGAGAAACTATGAATTATATGACTTAAGGTAATATTCAGGCATTTCTCTTTCCAGTGGTGCTAAAATGTATCTAAGCAGGGGCTAGAATTTAGAACTCTGTGAAAGAGAGCTTCTGTAGAGAGAGCTGAAGTCATAAAGCCTGGGTACTGATTAAGGCCTTGGAGCTCACAGTGGCTTTCATTTCTACCTACTCTGGTGGAAGACTGAGCTTCTGAAGAGAGTTCTTCAACTTGGATCTTAATAATTGGATTTTTCTTTCTCAAATTAAAGAGGAAGTTCTGGTAAGATGTTCTTTCTTCCTAAACTTTATTTTAATTATAGTTTTAAAAGAACTATTGGCCTTCATCCAGCCACGAAGAGTTAGAAGGTAGTAAGTATGCCTTTGTAGTCAGATGAATTTGCTGTTCTGCCTATTCACATGTTTCTAGTGTCAGAGAGTTAGACTAAGAAAATTATTAAAAATTGTTTTTCAGTCACTGAGAGGGCTTAAGATTTAGAATTCAGAAGCCTGACAACAGCTTTTAGTCAAAGAATCGAAAACTTCTTCCTACTAAAACACAAATTTGCTGAACGGTTTTGGGGATTGTTAGAATAATAACATTTTGGAGCAGTTATCCCCATAGGAGAACTATCAGTCTGAAATAAAATGAGCGATCCTATCTACGAATGTGAACATAGCCTGCTAAAAGGCACAAAAGATTTATGTGATCCGAAGAGAAAGCAGAGTATTGTGAATGTAGTTTGGGAGACCCAGATATGTGTGAGTAAAACTACTAGCTCTCATGTAAGCTGTTTTTATGAAATAAAGTCACATTACTGCCTGTGAAAGGTAAAGATTTTTTCTACTCTCTGTGGTTCTGTCTACCGTTTCCATTAAATTTTGCATCTTAGTTTGTTTCATACAGAAATAAACCATCTTACCTGCACAGGGGTGCTAAATTCTCCTGTGGGAAGATTCTCTGGAGGTTTATACACATGATCATCTGTGGTCGGGTTCCATTCCTTCCTAGGCTACTCATTTCTGTGTAGGGAGGGAGGTCACCTTACTGTTTGTCTGCACTTTGCCCAGGTATGACTACATCTTTTGACCTCCGGACAATGATTCTAATCATCATTTGCAGCGCGATCCTGCTGGCCATGCTGGTGCTAACAGGTGTTGTCATCTGTCTTTATGTCAATCTGACCAAGGCAATGAAGTAAGTCATGGGGGTGAGAGTCAGCACCTCTCTTCAAATGGGACACCTGGGGCTGTCTGCTTGAGCAAGATTTTTTCTTGCTACCAGTCTCATGCCATAGGTCAGGTTAAGAACCACAGGCTGGTTTATAAAGGCAAGATTGGATAGTTACAGAATCTTGTTTTTTTGTTTGTTTGTTTCTGGGTTGGAGATGTAATCCAGTAAGTAGAATGTTCTTAATATGGAAGGAGTATGTGACAGAAAGTGGTGCTTTTTCAGGGAGAGAATCCAAAGGGTGGAACAAGGTGGTTGTCAGCAGTAATGGTATCCCCAATCCAGGGAGTTAGATGGTGGCCTCTAGAGTCCAGAACACAGCCACTTTCAGCCTGTTCCTCCTCTTCCTGTGTCTCCAAGTCTGCAGCAACCCGCGGGGTCATGTCCACTCACAGGTCACTCTCCTTACATGTTCAGTAGTTGCAGGAGAGGAAAACATGAGAGAGCAACTCGGGACGGGGGCAGAGGGCTCTAATCCAGGGCTGGTGGGTGGCACGTGTATGATGGGCCGCAGCCCTGAACTTCCCAAGAGTCTGGACAACTGTAAGAAACGCACTGAAAAGAAAACTAAACTTGCGTTTTGTGTACGTCTTTCCTTAAGGGCTGCAAAGGAATATGATCCCGAGGCTAACTTGGCCAAGGACCGTCTCATGCTGGCTGAAGCCGCCATGGATTCTTGTCCTGGCCTTCAATACTGTGATGAATGCAAAATGTATGCAGATTATGAGCCCCTGCCACCTTGCTTGTGTGACATGAATGAGGGACTGTGATGTTGGAAATGGTGGACACAAAGATCTTCACCAGCAATATTTTTCTTAGTAGAATGTTAAGTTCTATAATTTTTATACTGTGTACTCTAAAATGTTAGTTTATGTACTTCTGAATAAATATGAAATACCGAAAATAATCTCCATAGTATTTTTTCTCAGTTATTTAATTCACACACATATGGATAGATCACCTACTTTGAGACTTGGGAAAATAGCTTGTAATATTATATGGTAATAGAAGCTGAAGAAATAAGGTAGAAAATAAGAGTGGCCAGCACTCTTCCAACCCCAGAAAGAAAGTATACATTGGCCTCAGGGTATTTTCAAAAGAAACTACCGGCAGAACCGGGGATTGAACTCAGGCCCTTGCACTTGCCAGGCACGCAATTACTCTACTGAGTTATCTCTCTGGCCCTCTCAGGGTATTTTCAAGTTCAGAATCTGCTAAAGGAGACACATTGGAGCAGTGTGATGAGAAATCCTGGTTTTCTTTCTGGTCCCCTATTCTAGGGTCTGTGATGTCACAATCCTGAGCAGGAAAGTGATGACAGCTAGGTGGAACATCTCTGGGTGGCCTGTGTAATAAAGGGATGGTGCTCACAGGCTTCAGGAGGACAAGGAGAAAGCCCAAGAGTCTCCCTTGCTAGCCTCCCCATGTCCAGAGCCAGGTGGCCTCATCTTGAGATCACTTGCATGACAGTAGGAACAATGTATTTGCTGTCCAGTTCTGTATTCCCAGGCCTTGGAATAGTGAGAAACGACTATTTGCCAAATAAATGAATGACTAGAGGACTACTACTCCCACATGCACAGTTGTTCTTCCTCATCTTACCTTGGATGTCAAGATTGCATTCTTGCACCAAACCCAGTACTCTGAGGAACCCAGTACTTTCCATGTGCTTTAGCTTCTGCAAACATGAACACTTAGAACTCCACGCAGGGGGCCTGCCCTGCGCTGGCTTTTCCTCACATCCTCTGCCTCCTCTTCCCACTCAGGGTCAGGCCCCTGTAGGCGTCTAGTGGCCCAGCTGGGCCCACAGTGCCCAGGTGCTGCATCACTCACTGCTCCTCGGGGCCTTCAGACTCCCAAGGAGAAATTCCTGGAGCAGAGCAGCACAGGCCTCAGCTGTCACTGACGCTACCCCACATGTGATCTGCACAGACAGGGCCAAGGCTCATGTCCAGCTGGTTCCCTCAGGCTTTACCTGTGGCTGCTGTGCCAGCTGTTGAGACCAGGGAGGACCCAGGCAGGCACTGTCTGCAGCCCTCCCAGGAGAGAGATGGGGAATGAGCTTCCTGCCGGCATTGCTGGCAGCGATGCAGCCGCACACCTGACATTTTTTCACATGCAGCGCCCGTTGTGTGGCCAAACTGACACGTTTCCCTCGAGTTTGCCAGGAAGCGTGTGAAGCCAGAGAGTTATGAAACGCGGAGAAGTATAAAGGCCTACCACCCCTGAGGGCTGCCCAGCTCCTGACAATGATGGCGGTCCTAAGAAGGCTCATTCTCTTGGCCTTTTCAATCACCTCATGTTTGGCAGAGCTGAGTGTGTCTGAGGCTGAAGGTAAGAAAATTCAACTGGATTTCTCTCCCAAACTAGAGGAGTTCTCCATCAGACCTCTTGCAACATTTTTAAAGACTTCCTGTCTGCTGTTGGTCCTATTGAGTCTGGGGTGGGCACTGCTGTTTCGCCGGGTGGAGCAGCCAAGTGGGATTGTAAACTGAGCACTAGTAATGAGGGAGTCTTAAAAGAGGAAGACACTTTATTTGTAAGGAGGAAAAAAGATAGAAAGTGGTCCTAGAGGGGGCTGCAGAAGGCCGTGGAAAGATGAATACCTGTGGGCCTTTGTCCCCAGCTGCTTTGTCCCTAGCTTCTTTTATCAGGTCTTAGGAGACTCTTCCTCCTGGGAACTGACCATGACCTGATCAACTGTATGGGCTGTCCTGGATGGGTCCCAGGTCACATGACCCTAATCTGGGTGCCATTCCTTATGGTGGGCTTCATTTGACAGCTTCCTGCCCTATCAGGGCCTTGTCTCTAGGATTCATAGTTCTGTTAGGAGGAGCCTATAGACAGCTTTGATTTAATTAAGGGGATATGTGTGTATCTAGTGCAGCAGTATAGTAACAGTAGAGTTACGTATATATCTGTGAGTATATATTTTTGTATACTAATAAGAATTTTCCTTAGGTAAGCCTCTCCCGTCTCCTGTGTATGTTATTCAAAGTGGGGAGGGAGTGCTATCCTGGTTCCACACAGCTGGCTTCCTCAAGCTCTTCCTGTCAGCCCTCCCTCTAGTCCTTTGACTTTCTCATCTGTTATTTTCCTTTCTTCTTCTTGTCCTTTTAATTGTCCCTCTAGTAAAGTTTTAACTCTTTCTATTATTTCTGTGTCTATAGACCCCTGCCCTTATAGATCTAATCCAGATAAAACGTTAATGCTCTTGGTGTGATTTCGGTTTGGTACTAATTTCTTTCAGGTTAATATGAGAGTATACGTTGAAATATACAAGGAAATAGAGTTATGCTGGTTAATTTCAATACTAAGAAATTATTTTTGGAAAACAGTCTTAAAGTACACAAAGTTAATGTGCAAGTATATGCACTTACATAATCATAAAAATATAAATATTCATCACTGATTTTGTTACTGTAAGCTCACAAAAGAGAAACACTTTTCTATGTATTAAAAATGACATTGATAAATTATAAAGGTGCATAGTGTCTATATTGAGAGAAAAAACTATTTGAAACATATTTTTATGGTTAAAATATATGCATTATAATATTTAAAATATCTGTAAAGAGACAAAAAGTAGAGGAAAGGAAACAGTCTCGACATATTCACAGTAATGTTTTTCGTAGTGAGATTGTGCAGTCATACTTTTTTATTATCTTTGCTTTCTGGCTTTTCTAACAAAATACTTAGAGTAAGATTAATAATCAAAGATTTTGTATAAGCACATTTGTACTCATTAGGTGAAAAGAAGATGAGAAAGTTTGTTGTCTAAGAGTTTTTAATCAATAGCTCTGTTTTGGAAAAATGTCTAGTCTTCACTTTATTCATTTGTAATTGTGTTCTTGTCTTTTTTATGTCTTTAGGACAGGGCCTGCAGGGTTCACAGGGTCTTACTACGTAGATTGGAATCATAGTGATCCTCCTGTTTTCAGCCTCCCAAGCACTGGGATTACAGGCGTGCACCACCATGCCCCATCTCAATTGTCGTTTCAGCGTGCCCCAGGGGTGGGACCAGCACAGTTCACCGGGGATTGAACTCCAGCCACTGCTCTCTGCCTAAGCAGGCCCTTTAGTCTGCTGAGCTATCTGACTGGCCCTTGTGTTCTTGTCTTTTAATTATGGAGTTGTAAGGATTTGTTACACATTCTAGACATACCACTCCCTTTTGAAACCCACTTTCTTCAGGCTCTCACATGTTCTTTCTTTTTTTTTTTTTTTTTTTTTTGACTTTCTGTATTCTAGGGATGGGTCTACAGGGGTAAAACTTCACACAATCAAAAAAAAAAAATCCTATCAATTTACCATTTTTTTTTGGTTTTTTTTTTTTTTTTTTTTTTTTTTTTTTTTGGTGGAATC